CCCCAAAACCCCAAAACCCCAAAACCCCTTGGTTCCAATCTCATTCTAAATTTAAGTAAATTAATATAGAATTTAGACTAAGATAATGAGATAAAAATATAAATAGAATGGGAGGAAGAACTGAATGTGAACTTAATTTAGCAAAGAAAATTGATGTCAGGAATAGAATCGAGCAAGGTATGTACAGAGTTACATTCCTTTAGTACTTTTGCTATTTTATTGTATCCGGAACTGTAACAATTCTAGCTGCATTCAATCTGTTTTCTGTTGAAATTAATGCAGAGTGCTATTCAGCAAAGAGTGAACTTCAACATAGAGTTACTACAACTAGATATTAATCAGCTTATATGATCACTCTACCTCTCTAATTAGTATTTGCTTATTACCTCACTGATACCGTCAGAGTTGGTTCTATCATGTTATTCGCAGGAGGAAATAAATTATTTGGAACTATCTATGTAGTTTTGCAGTTAAATGAGTTTTTTGGATTAGCTACCATTGGAGTTTTATACTATTACAGATATTATCAATTTCAAACTAAGTTATGCTCTGGTGATATATCAGATTTCTATTTCGATGCAACTTTGATTAATAGGGGAACGTTTTTAAAAGCAATGCTATACCTAATGCCAATATACTATGCAGTGTAGATCTTCTTACATGTTATCCTTAGTTTTCTGTAAGCAAGAGATTTAGAAAATGAATGCCCATTATATTGCTGTAGAGTTCTCTTTAGTACGTCAAAAAAGAGAAAATCAGACTGGTTTGATGAAAAGGGAAGACCTTACACTTATAGACACTAAAAAGAGAATATGAAGACTTACAGAGCGACAATGTCGAGACCATGGACATTTTTCATTGTGAATTGCGCATTTATTTTAGTAGTACTGGTAATGCATCCATATTATATTGTAACTAACATTGATGCTATTAAAGATTTCTACGTTTATATATTCATAGTTATTGAAATCCCTCTCATAATATACTGTGCTTTTAATATAATGTTTCTGAGTTGTGTAACAATGGAAGAATACCTAAGAAAACTTTTAAAATACAGATATTTTATGATAGATTTGATTATCCTTCCAATCATTGGAGGAATGATTGCCACAATTTATAAATATGTAGAAGCGAAAAATGCTCTTGATAATCCGACTACTCTGACATATGCATAACTTTTAAGCTATCAAGACTAGAAAAATGCCCATTGGTTGTTCTTATGGCTATTCGTATTTTCTCTGATATAGTGTATTGGATTCATTTTCTTCTCAAAGATTCTACATTCCTTCTATTTTGATAAATAATATTGATAAAACTTAGAAATCTATTGTTTAATTTCTTAATATGATTAAATCTAAATATAGTTCTTAATTTTACTAGTGGGGTTTTGGGGTTTTGGGGTTTTGGGG